CAGCAGAGTAGCTGCCAGGCTTCGCTCCGATTTGCCTTTTATTGTAGAGATACCCCCGTCCTCCGTGAAATAAAGGAAAACTACTACGTGTTGCTTCCTCTGGTGCACAGGTACCCTGGGTACTATTCTTTCATTTCCTCTTCCTGGCACCCCGAGAAATCTCCAAAACAGCCAGTGTGCAGCTTAATTCAGACCAACCACTTGTTAGTGCAGAAAATTCCTGCAGGTAAAAAGCACGCTGTAAAATCAGATTCTGTAATTCCATGAAGGCCATTCTGTCTGCTTCGTACTTCTCCACAAGTCCATCAAACTGAGGTCAGAAAAAAGCATCACGTTTGGGACTGACATTCTTGCATCTTCACACTTTCTTTTTCTCCTGTGAGATGCAAGATGAATGTAACATTACCAGTCTGAATACGTAGGACACCCTCTGTGAGTTCATTTAAAGAACTAAATGCTGCAAAGCCTCTTCTGAGGTCTGATACAGACCAAACGTGAAAGCCTTTCAGATCTGAAGGGTCTCTTCTAGATTATCACTATGTGTACTCAGGCTATCTCTGAATCTTGTGAGACGAAGGTTTTGTAGGTACAGAAGCCAAAAACTGATGGATCACAAGGTGGGGATCCTGGGGTTCTGGGGGGGGTTCTCTGGGTTTTGTCCAGAAATGTCTCTAGGTTATGGCAGCGCTTGTTGTGCTCTGACCCAGTCTCAGACCCTGACCTGGGAAATGCACAAGTATTTTCCTTGAGCACAGCATGCGCGTTGTGCCTGCTCTTGACAAGAGCTTCATTCATGAGAGGGTTTTCACATCCCTGTTACTCACCCCGTCGGTGCGATGGTCGTGCGATGTGTAACTCGCTCCCACCACTGAGCCCGGGGTTGTGACTTTACAACCACAAACTCTATCATTTCTTCCATTTTTTGGTTTTTATTTCCCTCCTTCATTCCACTTTATTTGTGCGGAAGTTTCAGAAAAGGTTTTGTTGGGGGGGGAATGACTTGTTTGGGTGTTTTGTAGATTTTTGCATAGATGATAATTCTGCATGAGGCTATAGGACTCAGATTCTTCCAGACTAAGTACTGTAGGCAAGGTGAGATGTACCGCAACTGTGTGAATATGGGCTTAGTAGATAAATGAGGAACTTTTTCTACCCGGAAAAGTAAACATTTCTGACAATTCTATGGCAGTGTGAATGAGGAATCATAATACCACCAAAGAAGCATTTCTAGAGGCTTGCAGTTGTTCACCTGAAAGCCACAAAATGTGCATTCAAAGAAAGCAAAGCAGGGATGGAAAACGCAGCCAAACTGTCTCGCCGCCGAGTTTCTCGCCGCTTTGCCGCTCGTGCGAGACCTCAGCGCCTGCAATGGGATCTCCGCTGGCTTCCTCAACAAAAGTTTCACGAGTTGTTTTTGGAGTTTTGAGAACATCAACTGAAAGCAGTTACAAGAACCAACCTCCAGTCTGGGGGAATCGGGACACCTTTTTGAGGCTGGCAGGGCAGTAACTGCGCTGCACAGCGATGCTGGCTCTGTTTCCCAGTGCCA